AGCTGCCGCGGGGCCCCGCCGGGCCGGGCCGGGCCGGGCCCCCGCTGCTCCGTGGGGAGTTCCTGTCCCTCTTCTCCTCTTCCTCCTCCTAGTTTTGGGAAGTGATCAGCGATGAACATGGCATTGACCCAGCCGGAGGCTATGTGGGTGACTCAGCGCTGCAGCTGGAAAGGATCAATGTGTACTATAATGAATCATCTTGTAAGTGTGGGATGGGGAGGGGTATGTGGGAGAGGGGACCCCTGGGGGAGGGGGCGCCCAGGGATCTGGGAAGCAGCAGGTTCATGAAGCCTTGCTACACATGTGGCTGCTGTTGTCACTTGCCCTCACCCTCCAACATCTGCTGTTATCTCCCAAAGCAGAGAGGGAGAAGTCACAGAGGGGCTGCCCCTATGGGCATGGCCTTACAGGCTGGAGGTGGAAATTAGTTTGTTTATTAGCTAACGCTACAATAGGTGTTTGCACTTTTAACATATGATTAATTCTTCAGATGTCTTATCATTAATTAAGCTGTTGCCCTGAATTAAGCTGTTGGTCGTATATGATTAATTCTTCAGATGTCTTATCAATTGCCCTGAATTAAGCTGTTGGTCATGTAAGCCTGCATCTGCAGTACATAGTCCCTGATATCAGGACTGAGGGTTGGGCCCTAGGTAATGGAAGACTCACTGGTGAATCATTAATAAGATGCCAAAGGTGCCCAAATCCTGTGGGTCAGTCTAGTGCTGGGGGGTGTTACATTGCAAAATGGGGATCACAGCTCATTCAGTCTGCTGACATGAACCTGCAAGTGTGTCTGGACTTGTGTCCAGCACACTTATTATTTACATGAGCTTCCTCCAACAGCTTCCACTGGAAACAGAATTCCTTATTTTCCTCTGTGGTAGCTGTGCTAATCTATTTTCCTCTGTGGTAGCTGTAGATGTGTCACCTACATCAAGTAGCTCTGTTTTAGTGGAGGTGATTCTTCAGGCATAAAGCTTATAGAGCATTCTAGGATTATTTGAACAAAAACCTTCCATTCATGCCATTATACACAGAAGAGAACATGCTACCTTCTTATAAAGAACATGTCAAATCAGAAACTTCCCTCCCCTGTATCTATTGCTAAAAAAGCTTTCAAAAAGCAATGTGCCATCCATGTGACCAAAACCCAAAAGACTGAAAGTCTGTTCAAGTAGAACTGATGTGTTCCCATGATACTCTTTTTATTATGATTTCCTGTATAGGAGTATTTATATATGTGCATCCTAAACTAGACTAATGATAGAATGTTTTGAAAGCTATAAGAGATTTAGCTTACATCAGAACGCTAAGGTCATACTTGCTTTCTATTGTAGCCCAGAAATTCGTACCAAGAGCAGTCTTAGTGGACTTGGAGCCGGGAACCATGGATAGTGTGCGATCTGGTCCTTTTGGTCAGCTCTTTCGACCTGATAATTTCATCTTTGGTATGTAAATGTCACTTTTAAAAATACAAACAAAAATACCCAGCAGGTGTTCAATTACCAAGCAAATGATCAAAAAGCATTCAAGCTATGTTGTCTCTCCATATTCCAGACAGCTTAAGGTCATCATTAGCACTGAGAAATCTGATAGTTTAACATTGCAATTCCAATTAGCCATAAGACAACCATCCAAAAGATCCTGTTAATTGAAGCAGTCATTCTTCTGTTAATCACTTTCCTTCAATTAACAAACTATGGAAAGTTTCCTGTAATACTCAGATTATTTACATTTGCTTTCAATGTACATGAGCTCTAAGGAAATTCTGAGACCCCCTTATTTACAAAAAAATTCATGGAAATTCTGCAGAAAATGGAGAGAACCTCAACCACAAACCAGTCAAACCACAGTTAACCTGATTTCACATTAAATCCTGGAGTATGGCATTGTTGAGAGGCTATGTAATTTATTTAACTTTTTCAGCAGGTCATTACAATGTAGTATAGTAAATAGTGGAGGAAGACTAACAGTAAGGTGAAAAGACTGTCATATATATCCAGTTATTTTCTGACATAATGAGGAACTTGAAAGCGTGTGAGGAACTTCTGATTTTGCAGTTCTTGGAGGGGCTTTTTGTGGGTGTTGTTGTTTTACTTTGCACTTCTGTAGTACTTTCCATCTAAACTTAAAAATGCACAAGCACACTGTGAAATTTAATCCCAATAATGTGAAGTACAGAAACATTTTCAGTCCCTTCACTCCAAAGAAACAGTGTGTGGAGGTTAAGTGATCCACTTGCCCAAACAGGAAGTCCAAATGAAAGTTACCATGAGAACTGTCATCTCCATTTGGTTTCCAAGTCTGCATTACCCACAAGACCATCCTCCCCCTGCCAAGGCAAGCTTAGGTTGCAACTTAGTTTAGTATATTCTGTTAACATAAGGAAGGAACGATGCCAGGGACAGACAGAGGAAAGATAAACATTATTTGGGAGGTATGAAACAAACTTTAGCCCAGATCATTGCTGCTTGGGTGGGGAGTAAGAAGCAAAGTCAGCCTTTAACAGACTTAAAACTTGTAACAGTTCCCTCTTCTCCGGTATACTCCATGGCAGTGCTGCTAAGGGTCTCTTTCAAAAGATGTTTAGATTATGATAAGTGGAAATAAGCTTGGGGGTGGGGGGAGACATAGATCCAGGCATCTTTACATAGTATGTTTCTATATTCAGGTTTCCCCATTCACTCCCTTTCCTCTAAACAGACCCACAGCAGCCCCCTGAAAATGAATTCACCTGACCTTTCAAAATATCTGAATCAGATGTTTGTTTGGCATGCCTCCAATAAAACCAGAGCAAAATCAATTCAGAGAGTCTTCAACAATAGCCCTGTTCACTGTACTCCCTTCCTGCCAAGCTAACAATGAACTAACAGCATGTGATCAACTGGTATCTGACAGAGGCTGCCTGCCAGCATCAGGCACCGTCCTCCCAACCTGCTGAATAATGCAGAATGGCTGCCTGAATGCTGAAGTAATGATCTATGTCAAAAGCCAACAGAGCATTTTGTATTCTCTTTTAAAAATTTAGCCTGGGCCCACAAAGGGTTTTGTGGCAGAAGTTAGCAGTTCCATGCTTGCTTGTATGCCAGGCTGTTGGGACTCATTCTGATGGAGGTGTTTACAGTCTCTGCTTATTTATGCATACATGTTTGGGTGTCCCCAGGGTGAGCAGCTGCAGATCATTAATGACAGTTCCATTCAGGTGTATTGAGTGCCTTCAGTTTCTCTGGATATGAGCCCCAATCACACATCCGGATTCAGGAATTTCAGCTCAGGCTTTCAGCTCTGACCAGCAGGAGATTGGAATGGACACAAACATATCTTTGTGCCTTAATGTTTGCATTAACAAAGTAGTGCTCTAAAAGGTGAGGGAGCACAGGTGGAATGAGCTCCCTGTAGGAGAACCAGCAGGTCTCCTGGCCTTCTAACAGCATATAACTGCCCACAAGGAACTGCCATGATCTCTGATGCAGCTTCTTTTTTTTTAAACCAGCTTCAATTTCTACATTTTATGTTTCTCATTCTTTTCTCATCTGCATCCTTGCTAGTTCTATTGCATAAATATCACTTCAACTTAGGTTATGTCTGAACTGGTAGGGGTAACCACAAAATGGCTGTCGGCTAGTCAAAGGAGCTATCCTTCCCTCTTTAGATCGTACACTATCCACACTGGGCTTCTAGGCATTAGCGCGCAGACTTCCAGTCTCTCTTCGCAAGTTTGTTTGTTATTATAGCAGTGGAGAGAGGAAAGGAATGAAAGAAGATTGCAAGACGGAGAGTTGCTGTTTTAGGGATTAAAAAAGAAATTGTCTGTCAGACAATTTCTGTCCGGCTTCTATATATGTGCAGCTCAACTTGAGCATTAGTAATAGCCCTCCAATGCACTGGAGAAAGAAGTGGTAGGAGCACGTGGTACCTGGAGGTATCAAGAGTGCAGGATCAGTTGTGGGACTGCTTCTTGTAGACTTCCTCTGGATCTTGTTAAATGCACAGTGAGAAAACGCACAGTGAGAAAAGGCAGAGGCAATTTGTTAGAGACTGGTTGCATACAACAGAGAGTTTCCAGTGTTAGTAAAATTTGCTGCAAGTCCTGATTTTTGTGGACACTTTCTCAGTTTTCACCTAGAGATTTAGCTCAGATGGAATTTGATGATTTTGCCTTTGTCTAAGCCTTCCAGAGGTTTGATAGGTACCTGCTATGTGAGGTGCATCCAGTAGGGTTGCACAAAGTCATGATCAAGATTTCCAGATACACAGCAGCTTCAGCAGAGCCATGGCTTCTCCACACTGTACTGTATTGTCATGAGTAGGAAGTCGGGAACTTCCACGGCTTATTGTTTATGTACTGTACACTGATAATCACCGATTAGTAAGTAATAACACTGACTGTGTTGTTACAGTGCCGTAGAGACAGTGGGTCTTGAAGCATCACATTACTGAGCATTCGCATGCACTTTGGAAGAAATCGCAAACAGAAGCATGGGAGGACCTGGGCAGGTGGTGAGCTAGTGGTGCAGTGCAATGTTAACCATGTGAGTGGCTAATAGTGTTGGCTCAAGAGAAACCATTAGTACTGGTGTAGGCCACCACTGCACCAGTTAAACACTGTGGCTGAAATACAGAGGTGGTGTTAGAGCGCTAGAGAGAGGTAGCAGTGATAATGTGGGCATCTAGGAGTTTGAGTGACTCAGATTTTAAGACCAGGGGAGTGTAGTGCAGTCGAGGGTCTGGAAGAGTACAGGTCCACGCCTGTATTATGCATTTCATCTCCAGACTTACTCTGCAAACTAAGCAAAAGGAAATAGAATGAAAGAGTCAGCTCTTGCTGATTCTTCTTTTTTTTTCTTCTGTGAACACACAATTGCCCATTTTTTGTGAGTCAATTACCATGCGAGATTAATTCCCAATCTCTACTCTCCTTGTATTTTATTTCTATTCTCTCCATATCTCCCTGTCCATTGGAGTAGGTGGATGGGATGTTTACCCAAGGGGCAATCTGCAAAATAGAGCCCTAAATTCTCAGAATTTGGCTTTGTTAGGATCCTTCCACCTCTTGGAGTGCTATTTCCTTGTTAGTATGCAGACTGATGTGCAGCACTATCTGTAGCGGGGGATCTGTTCAAGCACACTGCAGACAGTTTTGATCACATTTAGTTTTTGAAGGATATTATTTTGTACTTTATCCAGCTGGACAGGAAGTGCTGAGCTTCCTAGATTCTCAAGAGAGGAAAATACAGCAACATATAGAAAAATGCATTAACTAACCAAGTATAGCATAAGGAAACCAAGTTCTGATGCAGTGAAACTAAAGTGCATCGTAGTTGAACAATGTATCGCTCACGAGACTGCCACTCACTCAACTTGTTGAGTTCACTTGCGCAGCGTCTTTAAGTAGCAGATACTGTGAGGAACAGGAGTATTAAAAGCTGGTCCCCCTTTTAATCCTTCTTGTTGTCCAAATAATAATGAAATGGTGAATGGCAAGACCATAAGATATTGAGTGGATTATGCAGAACACATAAAAGGAAAGTGGAGGCCAGAGGAGAAAACGAAGGGCTCGTTAAACATTAGTAATTCAATTTTGCAAGGTGCTTTGCAGATTCTCAAGGATAGTGAATTCCTAGGGAAACCAGTAAAAATTTAAAAGGCACTCAACTCTCAGGATTTCAAAGTAACACCTTTAAAGCTTCTGTTGATCATCATTTTGATTCAGGATAGGTAACCATTAATTAATATTAATATAGTTGCTGATATAACAAGTTAAATAACATTTCTTAAGCCCAGCCTCATCCTTGAGTGACAACAGTGGCTCCTGTGTAAAAGTAGCAGCTCAAAGGAACAGTCCAAGAACCTTTCATTTAGAAATGTGTTATCTGTGATTTAGCTTTGTATACCTCATGTTCCTTATAAACAGAAAGCATTTAAATGTAAACAGTCTCCTCATGTTTATGGAATAAGCAGGATTGGGAGCGTGGAAGCTTTCAAAACAAAAAGTCAAGTCCATCTTTGCATTTATAGAAAGTTAAATACCGAAAAAGAAAAAGCTACTCAGCAAAAAGGCATAAATGAAAACTACCAAGGATTTGAAGCAAAAGGAGACGATATAAAATGTTTCTGCTGACATTTCCAAAGATAGTTGTAAACAAAACTGAAGAGTACAACTACCTGAAAGAACTATTGCAGCTTTTATTATAGATGTGATCTGAATCCACCATGCATCCAGGTACCATACCCTATCAATAATTTTGTATTTTTTCTGTCCCCCTTGTGTTATTTTAGGACAAACTGGTGCAGGAAATAACTGGGCCAAAGGACACTATACAGAAGGAGCAGAGTTGGTTGATTCTGTACTCGATGTAGTAAGAAAAGAGTGCGAACACTGCGATTGCTTGCAAGGATTTCAGCTCACTCATTCCCTGGGAGGAGGGACAGGGTCTGGCATGGGAACCCTTCTCATCAGCAAAATACGAGAGGAATATCCGGACAGGATAATGAATACATTTAGTGTCATGCCCTCTCCAAAGGTTTCTGATACAGTGGTGGAGCCTTATAATGCTACTCTCTCAGTCCACCAACTGGTTGAAAATACAGATGAAACCTACTGCATCGACAATGAAGCTTTGTATGACATTTGCTTCCGCACCCTGAAGCTCACCACTCCAACATATGGAGATTTAAACCACTTGGTTTCCGCTACCATGAGCGGAGTGACTACATCCCTGCGTTTTCCAGGCCAACTAAATGCTGACCTCCGGAAGCTGGCAGTAAACATGGTCCCTTTCCCACGCCTTCACTTTTTCATGCCAGGCTTTGCTCCTTTGACAGCACGAGGCAGCCAGCAATATCGAGCGCTCACTGTTCCAGAGCTCACCCAGCAAATGTTTGATGCCAAGAATATGATGGCAGCCTGTGACCCAAGACACGGGCGATATTTGACAGTGGCTACTGTCTTCCGCGGTCCCATGTCCATGAAGGAGGTTGACGAGCAGATGTTGGCCATCCAGAACAAGAATAGTAGTTACTTCGTGGAATGGATCCCAAACAATGTCAAGGTAGCAGTTTGTGACATACCGCCTCGTGGTCTCAAGATGGCTTCCACGTTCATTGGCAACAGCACAGCTATTCAAGAGCTCTTCAAAAGGATTTCTGAGCAATTTTCTGCCATGTTCAGGAGAAAGGCCTTTCTACACTGGTTCACAGGTGAAGGAATGGATGAAATGGAATTTACAGAAGCAGAAAGCAACATGAATGACCTGGTTTCTGAGTATCAGCAATACCAAGAAGCTACAGCAAATGATGGAGAGGAAACATTTGAAGATGAGGAGGAAGAAATCAATGAATAAAGAAATTAGGAAAAGAGAAAATTTCCGGGCCAGATTCTCAAATCTGGATTTCTAATAATTAGGCTTATAAATCCTTATTTCAAGAAAACAAGAAAATGACCATGAATCTCAGATGTTAGAGGTGCTTTTCAGAGTCCATTGAGGTCACTGGGAACTGAGGATGTTCAGCACTTCTGGAAATCAGGCCATTTCTATCCATGAGACAAATGTAATTAGTTAAGACTTTGGCCTAAGAGTCTGAACACAGAGATTGCTAGCTTGGGATATTTTTTTTTTTGTTCCAAACAAAATTTGTCTTCCATAAAGTTGTACAAGAAGTAAAACAGGCACGAAAATTTACAAAACAGAGTTGCGCTATTTTCATCGAATTATGAATAAGAAAAACTTGTGCGTTTGAAGTAATCATTCTGTACTGAGTGTACAAGACTGAGCTGCCAGGAACAAAATTTATTCATAATAAAAAGAAGAAAAAGAATTAACTGTTCTATAAAGTAAATATTAACAATTATATTTGAATTCAATCCTCTAATAGCAAAACAAAATAAAAAAGATTAGCATCCTCTCAAGTCCAAGTGTTGTGGGAACTCACTGCTGTGTAAGTATCCAGTGAGCTACAGGCTAGTGTTTTTAGGATTTATGCTATGTGACTTTGTCACTTGCTGCAGAATAATCACAGTTTATATAAATGAAGTCTATCCATTTGTGATATGTTCTTTAAGGACCCTCAGGGTTCAAACTGGCACCCCGGTATCTTGCTGGTCTTCTGTCTTTCTGCTTACCACCAGCTACTGGTGCTTCTGATTTGTGACTCCATTCCACCTAGCCCATGTAGCTGAAATTCAGATACTCTACAAAAGAGGGTGAGAGAGGCGGCATAGGTTACTTGTTGATGTATCTCATTACTCGGGTTTGTATGTTCACCACACCTGTGGATGCCTTGTTATCCAGATATATTAAAATCACAGGGCAGATTAAGGTTAAAATACAAAGAGCGTTTATCCACAGTATTTGAAACAGCTGGCAAAATGAAAGATGAACAACAGTTAATCTCCTTACGCTAACGTTAAAGCAGAAAGGTCTTACCTAGCTGAATTGCTGCCTTGACAAAGTGATGTTGGGTATTCACTCTCTGTGCATACTTTATGCTTCTGGTCATATCAATTAAACAGCTCCTCTCCACTGGAGAGCCTCCACCAGAGAACACTCTGTCTTCATGGAGCCCTATTTAGGTCAGTTTCTAGGCAACAAAACAAGCAAACAAAGAGGAAAACCCTCCGGAAATCCAGACTTTAAATGCTTCAGGAACTCTTCACTCCTTTTCTTCTCTCCTTCCAAAAAGCTTTTTAAGTAAAAGCATTTCTCAATACTTAAAAGGCACTTTACAAACATACTAGTGTAATTTCCAAAGATCCATCACTCCTAACAAGATATGTTTATGTATTGCTAATTTGGGGCTCAGGGAATAAGATAGCATTTCATAAAGAATATGAGCCAGGCAGCTATAGTAATCATATAAGCTAAAATTGTCTGCCTAATTAATTTTATTCTACATGGGATTGGAACTAATTTCATTTTAATCAAGTACATGTTTCTCATAGACAGTGACTTCATGGATTGAGGCGGTTGTTAGAACGTGCTAACCAAACTGCCTTTGGCACCGGTGTGTAGGCAGAGACTCAAAGAGCCTGGCTGGTTATGTTTTGAAGGGTCATGATGGAGTCAGTTTTAAACAAAGTCACTGGGCTCCATTCTTTGAAAGGGCCAGTGCTGCAAAAAGAATTCATGATCTGGCGATAGACTGTCTCTAACCGTGTATTTTATAAATGATGGGCTGCTGTAGCTATGCATTTAGCATGACAGAAGAATAAGCTAAAACTCTAAATGCATTAATGAGAAATTAACCTTGAATATGGTACAAAGCAAAATCCATGGAAAAAAAATCCATTAGAAGTTAAGAGTTTAGTTGATGGCGTTATAAGCTGGAGGCTATTAGCTCCAAGAGGCAGGACAACATACTACAGAGAGCGAGGAAGAGCCTGCTATTATGCACAGCCTTTTCATTTAAAGCTCTACCATAGCTTTTCCTGAATGAGCTAAGACCAAATAGCCTGCTTACAGTTTGTGGAACTACATGTATACTTTAATACAGGTTTTTTTTTTTTAATGTATGTGAGTAACAGAAGCATTTATGGCTGGGTTCATAAATGCTTCTATTATTAGATAGATGATAGCTGCTAAAAAACACTGGGAATCTTGGAATTCCCAAAAAACTGAGTATTTATTCATCTGGCCCGCTAGACTCTTTATTGCTTTCCACACATTGATTCGAAATCCAGACTACAGATTCTAAACTTGTGGCGTCCCTACCTGACAATGGCCTCTGATCCCGCTTTGCCTCTCATGCACTCTTTTATGTATATGTTTGCTTGCCAAGGATGGGCATTTCTAGAATGCTTCAAAGAAAGAAACCTGAGTGGATGTGGGGAAAGCCTAATCCCCTCTTTCCGAAAAGAGGAAAACTGGGATTTTTTTTTTTTTTTTTGCCAGCTGATTAAAAAAAACCCAAACAAAACGGCAGAAACCTGTAGCAGGAACATCTTCAGAGACCAGGTTTGCATGCAAGCAGTAAGAAAACTATGGGAAGCATGAAAGCAAATAAAGCAAGGCTTCCCATTCCTCTTCAGCCAACCTACTTTCTAGTCACCTGCTCTTTCAGATGTGAAACTGAAACCTCTTTTAGTAATAGGTTTGGCTAAAGTTTCCTTCAGTTGCACTTCCTTTCAAATAATTTTCTACTCTCTACTTCCAAACCTATCTTTTATTTTGATATCTACCTGATGAGTCCCACATGGCTTCACTCCTTTTTTTTTTAATACTCTTCACCTGTTTTTTGGTTTTACCTTTCTATTTTTCAACAGTCCTTTGCAGTTTTCCTCTCAGTGCCTCTCCCATCTTTATTGGCTCATCTCAGTTGTTTTGCACCCAGCCACAGCGAAATACAAAGGAGGAGTATGCCAGGATAAGGCAGACCTAAGGCATTCGGGGGAGGTGCAACTTCCATTATTGCCCAGATACAAACACCTCTGCCAAAGCTGGTATGAGGGAAGAAATGACAACCTACACTACTGAATGCTTGAAAACAAGGAGTAGGAGAGGTAGGGAAGTGTGTTTTCAGGGTAGGTAGATATAGATAAAAACTTGAGGGGCAATCTATCTATCTCCTTTGCATAGCTCTTGTGGTCAAAACCAGCAAGGAATGGGCAGCTCCCCAGTTCTCGGGCATGACGACCCCTGCGCGTTCTATTTCACCTAAGTCCCGCTTAAGCTCTTGAGCTCTCCACACCTTGAAATGCCTTCAGCTCTGCCTTCTCTCACATTCATGGCTCCTGAGGAAAAGGTGGTCACTTCCTAGGAACAGGGTTAGGCTGGGGAAGAGGGTCTGTCTAGACCTACTCCTCCCAGCACTGGGAAGAGCAGGAAGGTTAGTGGCTCCCTCCATGCTGTACAAGCCCTGGTTAGTTGAAGCGGCACTACTCAATACCTTTGCAAGCAAAAATAAACTGACCGTATTGGCACCCCCCCCAGGGAACTACCCTCGATTTGCTTGATTTAAGTTAAACCTTATAAAGTCTTAAATAGGGGAGCTAACAGTTCTCTTTAAAGAAGCAGATTGGCTAAACAGCTTTGTTTAAATACCATTTTAGTTCCAAAATCCTGGCACAGTCAAGTTCTTCCACTTTTTGGCACAACATACTAAAACTTACTGAAATAAGACTACATGGAGGAAGTTGGTGCTCCAGATTAACAGCAAAGGGACTTGCACCTCCTTTACATTACCATAAGCTTATTTAGTTGCAATATGCTATTAACAAAAGTGGAATTTACAATCTGAAGAGGCAGACAGCACAAACAGGGAGCAGGAGAGAAGATTTCCTGGAGAGGAGGTTATTCTTTTATAGTCAGGTAGTGTGACTGTGAAGAGTTAGGTTAGGGGTGTCCCCCCTCCCCCCAACCTCTCCCCCCCCCCAAAATTAAAAAAAAAAAAGTCTGAGGAAATGCAGAGCACTGACCTTTATGACTTAAAGTACATTAAATCCTCAGCATTGGCTAGGAATTGCCTATTGCAAAGAAAAAAAATTGTTCAGCTAAATGGGGGGGGGGGAATAGAACTGAAGGCTTTAAATACAAATTACATTAAAAGTACAGCCCTAGAGCATATCCAGAGAATAAAGAAATCAACCACTACTCTGTACGTGCCAGATTTATGTTTTCAGAACAAATTTACTAACGCAGTAAATTGTTCATTCTGCACTTTGATTCCAATAACATGGATCTGAAGTTTAGTTTATTGCTCATTCTACAAGGAATACTCCAATAAGAGGAACATACAGAAATGCTGTATAACAACTAAAAAAGCCCAGTAAATAATCCCTACATTGCCATGTTCTCCCTGTTTCCCTTTGCTGCTACCCAGGCAACATCAGAGATGACACCAGCAGCATGGGAAAAAAACAAAACAAAAAAGCAGGAGAGTTATTTCCATAAACAGTTTACTTCAAATAGCCAGAGCAAAGAGCTTGCGTCTGACCTTTCAGAGAGACTTTTTCCTTTGCCATCCTACTGCTTTCCAGTATGTCACAACAGATGGAATCAGTCACTATTCCTTTAAGCTGCCCTCTGCCATATGCCTTAAAGGATTTCTTGCCCATCAGAGAAGTTTGATTTCTTCTTCTCCACTCCCTCCCTCCCCCCCCCAAAAAAAATATCCCTAAAACCATGCTCCCTCTCTTTTTCTGAGATAGGGAGACTGTCAGGTAACTTCTCAACAGCAGAATTATCCAACTGAAATAGCCATAGTGTACAGCAGACAAACAGAAGCAGACTACTATAATCCAATTTGGCACCTTTGGATTTAGTTACTGTTTTCAGTATTTATGAGAACAATTGTGATATCATCATTTAACAAAATCTTATGCTGAAGTTTATTGGACTGATTTCTGTATCAAGAAAGTAGCAAAAGACAACAGCAAACAATTCAGAAAAGTACTGATTTTATTGACTCAAACTGTATTTACACAACACATTTGTATGTTCAATATTTTACAGAACTCTGTAAAAAAAACCTGACTAATAAAACTGCAGGAGCCAAGTTGAGTTTCAGACTTAATTTAAGACACTGAACCATGACTATATTTTAAGATATTTAAGTGGGTATCCAATTTCACTGTCAACTTACATGGCAGTTCTTTGTAAATAAACTTTCTAAAACCAAAATGAAAGGGCAGGGAAGGTCAGATGACAGAGCTGGTATTTCTGCAAAGCTAGTACTTTGTAAGACCAGACTTTTGGCTAAGCATTCAACAATGCATTTTGTATGATTTTTTGAGGGGGAGGGAACAGGTCACATACAGGTATACTTTAGATCAATAATCATAGAACTTTTAATTTTTATAAGCTTACATACATTTTAAAAAAAAAGAGACCAGTGCCACAAAGTTTGTGCATGACTCCAAACTGTTTCAAAGCTTGAGAGGTTCAGTTTGGCATTCCACTGCAGCTTAGATCCAATGTGTTTCTTCAGTTGACAAATGAAAGACGATCATCCTTTACCAGTGAACTGATCATCACATACATAAACTGGGAGCAGAACATCCTTGTCTCATCACAAGACATCACTCTTCCACCCATCCCTAATACAGTTTGGTTGAATAAATATCTTTTTTGTTTTGGAGGTACAAGCTAAGTGAGTTCGAGACTGCAAATCAACATCACACTTTGCAGCTAAAATGGCATCCCTCCTGTGATCTGCCTGGCAACCTGTTCATCTGTTGTCTCCTCCTTCTCTTTTTCACGATCTTTGTTCCAGTCTTTAAGGCCTTCTGGCAGTGAAGTATCCTCATCCAAACTTCCTGTACCTTCGACAAATTCTTCATAAGTAGACTTTTCTGCAAACGGTCTTGGGCCAAGCAGGTCTAGCATATCACTTTTATCAAGCACTTCTTTCTCCAGTAGCCGTAGGGCAACCTGGAATAGCAGTAAATTATGTCACACAAAATGCAGTATCTTGTGTATTTCCTAGAAAGAGTTTAAGGTAGTTCAGGACTATATTCAGTTCAGATTATTTGTTGACAGAAGAAACATTGCTCAGAATTCACTCAAGTGACTTTTCCCCCATATGCACTTAAATAGCAAAAGCACTGTTTAAATCCTACTTAGGAGATTTAGCAGAGCCCTCCCTTTGGGCTGCTCTTGCTGTTATTGTTGCTTCAAAACAGCAGCCCTTTGCTGCTGCTGAAAGGCTCTAGGAGCAATAGTTTAGCTGTGGATGGGGGTGGTTCAGATGGTTCAATAGGGCTGCCGTTAGGTTGTAAGCTGCAGAGCATCATTAAATATAGTATGTACAATACTGTCCAAGTGTAGTTTGTAACCTTTGTGAGAAGCGTTGTTTAGCACAAACCACATTCAGTGATCTTTCTTGGGATGGCATCCTATTACAACACCATTTAGTAAATCCACACAATCTTTGTTTTTTTGTCAGCAAGCCAATCAGATAGACATCTATCCTGGAAAACTACCCTTTTGCTGTATCAAGCTTCCTGGAGTGGAGGAAGAGAATATGCACAAGTGGAATACCAATTGCAGGGCAGCAGACCAGAAGCAGCCTTGGGGCAGGGAAAGAAGATGGCAGAAAGATTCTTTCTTATCTTACTTTCAAATATAATTCAGAGAAAGGAAGTTCTACAAACTTGCCTTCATATATGTATGTATATACACACACACTATAAATATATATACACACACACATATACACTCATGCATATGGTGTGGCACACTGTCAAGATTATACTGAATAACTTTTGAGCAAACTGGCTTGTACATTTAATGTTCAATTTTTTAAATCTGGTTTACCAGCTGGAATTTGGCAGCTAAAATATTGTAATGCCCACCTTTTCCACTTCCGCTTTCTTCTCAGTCAGAAGAGTTAATGTCCTGTCATAAGCAGTGTTAATAAGTGACCGTACTTCTTCATCTATCAATCTGGCAGTTGCTTCGCTATAAGGTTTCTCCAACACCATGTCTCCTTGACGAGGCAGATCAAAGGAAATCTGCCCTACTTTTTCATTCATGCCAAACTGAACAATCTGGGGGGGAGGGGGGAGGAGAAGAGAGAAAGATTATGAAGATTTTAGGGTATACTGATACAAATTTGGTAACCAAAATTAAAAGGAAGTAGTAATCTCTCTATGACCATTTATTTTCTCTAAAACTCATCTTTCCCTAAAAACTCCAGTCTATCTAAGCAGAAATAAAGCTGAAAGTTCCATAGTTGATTTTTAATTATTCATCTTTAATTGATAAGACTGAAACACTCAAATACCACCATTTAAAAGTGGTTACTCTTGTGATGTACATAATGCTTTCCTATTTAAATACTAATACTCAGAAAAAACACTTAAGCCTTCATTAAGCAGTACAACTGTTTTCCTTTGCCACAAATATACAAGTTCTTCCAATTCAAAATGTTTCAGAAGTATAGCATATTGCAAGTATGGATAAGTCAACTTGACTGAAGAAAGAAAAACAGAGGGTCTCTGGAGATTGCCCTATCACATGTAAAGTTGTACACTAAACTCTCCTCCCTCCCCCAAAAGAGTAAAATGATTGTCTCCAATTATCAAATATTGGCTCCTCTATTTGCCATTTAGAGATGTTTTAAGTTGCATTTTAACACAGCAGAGGCAGAAATAAATTCACACTGTTTAGAATTCATTTACAGGTTCACTCCATGACTACTATCGGTCTGATGATTACTAAAGTGGCACTTCTCCAAAGTGAAAATAGGCATGACAAAGAATATTCAGAATTCAAAAGGATCACCTCACTAGAGCCAAGCATCTTAAGCTGCATCACAAATAAAAGTTAGAAATGTTTCTTTAAGCCCCCAATTCTCACCAGAAACAATGTGTTTAATATGAAAAAAGTTTGTATTCGCTAAACATTTTTATTTAAAATTGAACAAGAATGACTAAAGGATAGAAAAATCAACAGTAATGGGATTTCAATACATATTTAACTTTCAGAATGGCAGCAACAAGAAGCATACCAGAGATCATAGGGCAGGCGTGGTGTGCGTGTATGTGTGTGGGGGGAGGTTGCATAGGAGAAAAGAAATGTACTTTAAAATGTCTCTCGTTCACCTTGCAAATGTCTTAAAGAATGACAGCTTTTATACTGATATAGGAAATGGAATAAGTGTTTAAGTGTAATACAGAGCTACACTTCGATGAGTCATTACATTGATAAGATTTCAAATTACTCATCTGTGCTAGTTAATATGGTACAAAGTAGTGTCTTAATCTCATCAGCCTTCAACTGACAGATAATTGCTTAAATATAAGGCTTTTTGGATTTAATTATACATACGAATCCAAACTAGGTCCTCAAATTGAGGAATAGCAGAAGTAGAATCAGAGAACCAAATCTAAATAGTTTAAATATGTAGTTTCAACATTTTTGAATGCAACTGCAATATACCTGTTCCTGCAGGTGTATGTAGGATAGTGATGAAAGCCCAATGCATTATGATTCATATTGTAAGACTGTACGATAAAAATGCTTGAGTCATCAGCATCTCTATATAACATAACATTTAGTCATATTATCTTTTATTAAACTAGGCTTTCGAGAGCCATATCTGATTAAATCGCATCATTTTAAAATATTAGTGTCAGATGAGGAGAGAAGCACGTACCTGAGCATACGCACTCTGGGTCACCTTCTTCAAATCATCTTGGGCTCCAGTTGTAATTCTTCCGAAGAAGATTTGCTCAGACACACGTCCTCCCAGAGTCATGCACATTCTGTCAAGCAATTGCTCTTTGGTGTAAAGATACTGTTCCTTGGGTAAATACTGAGCATAACCCAGTCCTTTACCACGTGGGATAATAGATACCTACAATCAAAATTAATAGAAGGTTAGAATTAAACAGCACACTATCATAAAGTATTCTTTGACTTAGCTTTTAATACCACAATCTATATCATAGTCATCCTTGAACTTCAACCGGACATTATTTCTACGTACAGTTTTGTCCTCATTGTCACTTACCCCTAAAAGCCCTAACTAGCTCTAAACCGGGGTCCTAACTACCAGAATAACTGGAAAGTAGTGGCAGGACCACTGCAATCTCTTTTCTGTTCAAAAAGATGGCATGACATTTTAAGTTTGTTGAAATGAAAAATCTGTAAATCTTTTAGAATTACATACAAGGCTTAAAATTCTGTAACAGACATAGCATTACTACATCTCTAGCATTCTGAATAGCAAGGAGTTTCCATGTTTACTAATCCTCCTCCTTCCAACAGTAAATTGTTCAAGCTTAAATTTCGTCTCGTAAATCAGACGAGACTAAGAACACAGGTAAGAAAAACTGTGATGGTTAAAGCAAGTTATGGAGATTGGGGTGTTTTCCTTCACTTACAACTTGTCAAGCTGTGCACCCCAAAAAAATCAAATTAACATTTTTAACAAATCTCTAGATGATCATTTGTATAGTTACATTCCTGAAGAGGCATTTACCTACACAACCTTGTATAAGATCTTGTTAAATCTTAGATCTGATTAAAAGCCTTAGTGAAAAAGCAGCTATCAAAGCAGGCAGTCTCATGGGAAGATTAAGTCCGTTTCACTTTTCCAGGTCTTTTGCACCATGAAACCCATTAACACCAGAATCAGAAAACAATTATAGGAAAGCTACATGAAGCACACCAAAGTAGTACACTAACATTTATATACTAACAATGTTTTTTTTGTGAGCCTGCACATTTTAATATCCTCCCAACATTAAAGAGAAACAAATAGGGAAAAAGAAAGTGTTATTTATGTTATACGTAAATTACTTGTCCCCGTTAGTTTACTTCCTTTACCTTTAAGAGCGGGTCAGCATGTTCCAAAAACCATCCTGCAACTGCGTGCCCTGCCTCATGATATGCTACTGTCTTTTTCTCCTCTGGTTGCAGTACTTGAGTTTTCTTTTCCAAGCCTTCAAAAAATAAATTCAGTTAATGGTCTCAGACATACATTTCTCCACTGAAATGGAGAATCCCTTATCTCATGCAGAAAAGGAGTGAGCAAGACTAAGATGTATACAATCAACTGAAAACATTTAAAACAAACAAAACTTGCAGGTTTTAGAAATTTGTATCTTCCAAATTCTACTATATCCTGTACCCATGCCCTTGATTAGATTTTGTAGTTTTAAAACACAAGTTCTTAAGAATATTCAAATGCTTTATATAAACATTCACTCTTTAAGAATCAGAGTTTTCTAGAATCTTCCAAGCTAATAACATTTAAAAGCACTGTGAAGTCTGAACAGCTATTCTTCCCATTTTAACAAATTAGAAAAGTGTCCTGATGAAATTTCTCTTCCTACCCCTTCTCCATTGCAGAAGTCAACAACAGAAACAACCCCCCCAAAGCACACCAACATACACCCACACAGACAACCATAAAGCTCAAGTCAAACAAAAAAGAGAACCCAAACAACTACCCCTAAAAATAAGAAAGGGATATTCAAAGTGTGTCTTAAAATAAAAAAGGTACCTGCCATATTATGATTTTTGAGAAACGACTTACTCGATTAACCTACCTCCAATAACTCTTTCAATTGCTTGCTCAAAATGTTTTTGGTTTATAGCATCTGAGAGATGCCTTGCAGCAATTAAAGCAGCTTCATTACAAACATTAGCAATATCAGCACCTAAAGACAGCGAGGACATGAATTACTGCTTATTTTCAATAATTTTACCTCAAGGTCTAGCACAGAGTAATATAATCTAACACTAGATTTCTACGGATTCTCAGAGAGCATTATCTTTAATCTTCTGTGAAATAATCATTACATATAGTCTAATTCTTTAATACATATGTAAATACATGTTTTACAGTTTTAGGATAGCTTTTTCTTCTTAAGTAGTCAATTACTAAATAAATAACTGTTTGATATATCATATTCTACCTTCTGCAAGTTTTCTGTCTGCAGACTACGTTTAGACTAGCCTAGATTTAGCAGAATAGGCTTCCTAAGAATGGATCTAGTACAGCTCAGATCTTGTTTGAAAGGATACCTTCTATAAAAACACGTGTTCATTACTGGCTTCAAGCCATCCACTTAATGTTATGTGCAGTACTGTTACAGAGATAACAGTAAGGAAAAAAAACAAAAAACAAAAACAAACACTGCAGTTGCTAGAGATGTAGACTATGAGGTCTTTGCAAAAAAGCAGTTCTATGTAGAGTACAAAAAGATTAAGGGGCTCAGCTATCAGTCAATATAGATTTGAAATGGATTAAATTACAAACCAATAATGAAAGTTTTCATATCCGTTCCTAATTAAATACAAAGTTAGAGTACACCTCTCCTAGGGAGAAGCTCCAGCATCCAGAAATAGAAATTCCCCTACAAAATGCATATATAAACTCCACAAAAAACCCCATCAGTCTTCTGTAGTAACGATCAAAGAACCAGACGAATGTATTAAAAGTAGAAACATACACACCAGTGTAGTAAGGAAAAATTTCTGGGATGCTTTTGCTGAAGGCAGAAGAAACTGCTATTCGATATGTCACATTCACTGATACAGACCTTCAGAAATCTCATTAACTTAAACAGGTAAAGGGAATTTCACACTGCATCGGTAAATAAAGTAAAATAAATAGACAGGCAATCAGGAGACTGGATGCAAGAAGCAATACAAGCAGTAGGGAGAGAAAATACCTACAGCTTATA